AACCACGTAAAATTTCGAGATATTAAATAAAATAGTTGGATATATCAGAGCGCGGCGATACGACAGGCGGAACATACGGCTCGCCGCGGCCGGCGAAGAAAATGAAAGAACGCACACATAAACGGACGCACACACGGAACTACTCATTTCAGTACGCCAAACGGTCCACCTCTCTGACCTATAAGATAGGCCCGCGAGCAATCATCCATTTTCTTCACCTGCCGCGTCGCCGCGCTCTGATATGCCCAACTATATTAATTAATATCTCGAAATTTTACGTGGTTGTTTGAAAAATGACCTATACAATTTTTGTTCACTTTTATATATTCTACTTATATTTTTCATTTCGTACGTCTTACGCGGGACACCCTGTATATCTACCGTAGATACTTTCTCTTTCTTTCGCATTGTATAATCTCTATATATTGTATTGTCCATTTCTTATAAATATGTAATATGGAAAATTACGCCAAAAATATCCTCCGATGGTGCTCAGGTCGTCGAAATAGCAACACATATTGCTTGCAGTACATTCAACAAAGGAGCAACGGCATATATTGATATTATGCAAGAATTAAATAAAAAAATCGGCGACAAAGCGCATATCAGTAGTGCATGTTTATGGATAAACGCTGCCACTCGTCGAGCGCAATACAACACGCGAGAAGCTAGATCAGTTCGCAGACTTGGAAGATTGGCTGCGGAGGATATTTTAGCCACTGTAGAAGGGCTACAATATGGTGCAGGAATACCTGAATAATAGTAAGATAAAATATTTATCACTTTATTTTGTAGAAAATAATTATTGAAACTTTAAACGCGTTTATCTCGAAACGATTTTTTCTCAAACGGTGCAGGCGATTTCAAAAGTACTATTATTCTGGCTATCTTCACGTTTGGTTGACATCAATATAATAGCAGAATTGACAAGTTGACGTAGAATTTTTTTCCACCTGTTTACTATTTGTTAATAACAATAAAAAAACCGTGTTTGTTTTCGGTCGAAAATTACACGTTTTCTTCAAAATATTATAATTTACACAATTTTTAACTTTTTCAAAATTTTCGCAAGTCAATTTGTAGAGAATAAATCGAAGTTTAATATTTATTTTGATTTTTATTACAGACACACCGTACACGAGTAATTACCTGTACCGTTTTCGAGTCTGTGGGCGACAGGCTTTGCGAGATGGCCCTCATATACTGTTTATATTTATTAATATTTTTTAATACCAAGAATACTCTAAATGTATCTAAATGTATTTAACTATGGTATGATATAAAATAAACCTGATTGGCCTAATACTTTGTCAAAAATAAATCCTGAAATGAAATCTTTCATTTTCGACGATCAGTGTATTACCCCCTTAAGAAAATCTTCTATTACGTTTTATGAATTATATATAAATATAATTCTTATAAAATATTACCTAAGTTTTTAAAACATTCATAATACATATACTTGCTATGTACAAAACACAGCCATATTTATTTAAATATAATAATATTACTTTTATTTTTTTTTTTTTACATAGATTCACAAAGCCCGGTTGATGGTAAGTACATAAAAAAATTTCACAGACAGATATCTGTGCATGATATCATTATTAAAGGAACAATTTTATCTTGTTAGAAACATCACGTAAGCAGATCTGAGAGACAAGGCAAGACACATCACAAGATATACTACACTGTACGTGGTTGAGAATAAAAATAAAGGAAAAACGGCGACATAACGAAATTATACTGAAGGAAAATGAATAATATACTTAGATTATAAAAAATTTCATTTCGATTGCGTTTACTTACGACAATTATGATGATGTTACTTAAACTAGTATATATTCTATTGAAGAATAAAATTCTGTGCAAGTGAAAGTTTATCATTTTTATCATTGCTCCTTAATACGAATCCTAGTTTCCAAAATTGTCAAAATAATCCTGAAGTTAAATAATAAGCGCACTTTACTGCAGGCAGTAATCGCGACGCTGGCCGCTCCTACGGCCAAGATAAATAGTCGCATCGTCAAGCTTAATGATTATCAAAATGCCTAGAAAAAGGATCGAGTTGAAACATTGGTCCCAACATTAAATGCATTTTGTGCACTTAATGTTAAAGTTACACGCAATATCGCAACTAAATTACGCACGTTTACGTGAGGAAAGCAAGATATAACTTTTATAAGAGGTTTCGCTCGGTGATCGTTTTATATTCATATTTTCTTATATATTTTTTTCGTAGAAACCGAAAATTATCTGTATAACTACGCCAGACTTAATGACGAAATAAATAAATATATATTATTTTCGCTCTTGAAGTCAGAATCTGTCTCGCGGCGTAGCTCGGGATGCTCATATATCGAGTCGCAGCAGCCACTTCAATCTTATGTATAATGGAAAATATAATATAATTAATGTTTTACGATGCAATATTGCTCGTATTTAGTTCAACTTTGAATTAATTTTTCAATTATTGGAGTATAACTGACAATGATTCTATCACGACGTGAATAGTATTTTATTCCACTTTATATATATATATATATATATATATATATATATATATATATATATATATCTTTTTTTTCTTAACTCTAGTGTTATTATACTGATAATGTATATTTTCAGTTTCAACAAAAAAAATACATACACAAATATAAATATTAAACGATTCCTGAGCGCGCGGTCGCAAAATTTCTTATAAAAGTTATACCTTCCTTTCCAATTCGTTTTTTATTGCTATCCATATCTATTCCAAAAAACACTGTCTGTAATTTCGAGGAGTCACGACGACACATGTAAAAAATGTTATCTATAATATAATATATAATATATAATAGGAAAAATGCGTGACACTCGCTAAGACAACATCACGATACGTTGGCTTTAACTGGCTATAACTTTAGAGAATCACGACGACGCACGTGGAAAATTTTAGCTACAATGAAAACATGCGTCACACACGTTGGAAGAACCTCACGGCGCATTTTATGCTGATATATCTGATCACGACTAGTCCATGAAATTTTATAACATAAACGTTTGCGAATATTGATATCTAATCACTCAAATGCTGCATTAACGTGTTCATTGCACGAAGACGGGAACATACACACTCTATCTCTTCCATAAAAAAATATAATTGTGATAAAATCCCCGAAAGTGCTTCTTGCAATAATTCAAAGAAACGTATATAAGCGACGGTTGAACACGGAGTAAGCATCAATCATACAGTAATCAGTCCTGTAGTAAACACATCAGTTTCACGAAAAGCAGCAAGATGAAACCGTCGGGTCTCACGTTGGCTTTCTTGGCAGTTTTTATGATGGCGATAATGTACAATTCTGTAGAAGCAGCAGCAAAACCTGATGCTGATGCCGAAGCCATGGCTGAAGCTTTTGCCAACGCTATTGCTACTGGCGATGCCGATGCT